TAATGACAATTAGAGCCTTCTTGTATAGAATCTGAGGAATATTCCCAACAACCCCAGTCCTCAACTCAATAAATGAGCCCTAGAACCTTGTTACTGAACCCTAGAACCTTCTTAATAAGCCTTAGAACCCTGTTGCCAATCCATAAAACCTTCTCTATCGCCCCTAGAACCTTCTTCGTGACCCCTAGGACCTTATTAATGACACCAAGATGATTGATGACCCCCAGAACATTTTGATGATCCCTAAAACCTCTTTAATGATCCCTTGAAAGAAAGTTCCCAATGGCCTTTAGAACTGTTAACTGATCCCCAATGTTTTTAAACTACCCTAGAACCTTCTTTAAGTCCCCTCGAACTTTCTTAATGACTATGAAAACCTTCTTGTTGGCCCTGGGACCTTATCCACGATTCCTTAAACCTACTTACAAACTTCCAGAACCTTCTCAGTGACTAATCTTCAGTGATGATGATCCAGTCCTGGTTTTAGCCTCAACAAGGTATTTTTGTAGCCGCTGTATCCCCAATACTGCACACACACACACACACACACACACACACATTCTTAATGACTATGAAAACCTTCTTGTTGGCCCTGGGACCTTATCCACGATTCCTTAAACCTACTTACAAACTTCCAGAACCTTCTCAGTGACTAATCTTCAGTGATGATGATCCAGTCCTGGTTTTAGCCTCAACAAAGTATTTTTGTAGCCGCTGTATCCCCAATACTGCACACACACACACACACACACACACACACACACACACACACACACACACACCTCGGGGGGAGGTAATCTCAGAGGTCACAGTGGAGTCATCACTAACATCCAGGATCACAACATAACTCACATCAACACTGACACAAACACAGTGTTTACTGCTGCAGGCTGCAAACACAATCTATACACAGCTGAGTGTGTGTGTATGTGTGTGTGTGTGTGTGTGGGGTGGGGGCTGGGGGGGGGGGTGGAGACAGAAACACTGCAGGGTTACATCTACACCACACACAGTGAACACTCATTCATAAAACACATGAATTCATCTGCACAGTCAAGACATTAGAGATATAACATACACATGAATAACATATAGATATATTACATCAGCTGACTGTATTATACCTTCCATTGCTGCAGTTATATATCACTCTGGGTCTGCAGCATGAAGACAGGTCCATGTCTGACAGAGTAGCCCCCCCCCCCCCCCTCTCTCTGGGTGACTGAAAACTGAATTATAATTGAGACTCGCCCTCGTCCCCTCAGGTGAAAACAGCTTTAATTAAACGGGTTGTGGTCAGAGACACTGTGTGTGTGTGTGTGTGTGTGTGTGTGTGTGTGTGTGTGTGTGTGTGTGTGTGTGTGTGTATGTTAATCCTGCCTGCTGTATTAAACACTCAGGTCTCTCAGACAGATTTAATTGTCACTGCAGGCACAGATGCAGTCAGGGAGAAACCTCATTGTTATCCTGAAAACACACACACACACACACACACACACACACACAGTTATTGCTCCTTTAAATCTCTCAAGTATCAATTTCTCAATTCACTGAGTTTTATTGGTGTGAAACTGATAAAACATTAAAACTAAACTAAACTAGTAACCTGCTTTAAAAACTAATTCAAACTGACTGAAACTGAAAACAAAAAGTAAATTAGATAAAAATAAAAACTACAATAAGTCCATCACTGTACGCCCAGTTTGGTCAGAAATGCTGCACCACAGATTCATGCTAACAGGCTAACGTGCTCCATGCTAACGTGCTAACATGTTAGCTTGAGTTCCAGCTGATGAGCGTGGAGCTCCTGGTCTCTCTGTCAGGAGGAGGACTGGACTCTGTTTTTACTGTTTGAGGTTTCTACTGTGACATCTGCTAAAGTCATCTCACACACACACACACACACACACACACACACACACACACACACACACACACACACACAGTGACCTCAGCTGTCGGGCTGCTGGTGATTTAATAAAGTCATTTAATGAAAAACCGTTCATGAGCTGCAGATTTACGGTGGGAAGATCCTGTTGCCTGATTACCCAGAATGCACCAGGACGCGAGCTAAACGGAGATGAAAGAGGAGCTGAAAATATCTGCTAATGTGATAAAAACATGTGACGGAGGAGGACGCACTGGAACTACACACACATGAACTTCAACATGAACTCAGGGCCAGTCGAGTCCAGGTCTGTGAACCGGCTCCTGGTGTTCAAACTTCATCCCAAAGCTGCAGAATAAATACAAAGATCCATAAAATGATGATGATGATGATGACGACGACAATATTCTCATGTCATCACATCTTTTCTCATTGAAGCTGTTGAGAGTTTCATCTTTCTGAACTTTAACCTCAGATCAGACTGTGTTGAGTAAATCTACGGGAGCCTGCCTGGGCCAAACCTCTGACAACAACAGCATCGTCGCAGCTCAGTGTTCTGAGGAACGGATTTCTTCTTCTTTTCTTCTTGGTGAAATCGTTCAGTTTCCATCGTTGATCGAGTCTTTCCCAGTTCCCAGAGGCCGAGGAATCGGACTGGGAGGTTTGGTCCCAGCATTCCTCAGAGTCAGTGAGTGTTGGACGAGGCGGCTGCAGGTTGAGTGGATAAGATCAGCGAGTGTTCAGCTCTTTGTTGTGAGGTATTCAGCGATGGATGATCTCCACCTTCACTTTCCTCTCTGTCAGTGTGATGACAGCGTTATCTCTCTGCTCAGACTCTGTGTATCTGCGGCTCATCTCTGGCGCTCTGCAGGTCTCTGCTTCGACGCGTTGACGTGTCTGAACAGCTCGCGGTGATGCTGCAGCGTCACAGGGTCACATGACTGACCTCGCTGATCCAGACTCTCCGCACGTCCTCGGTTCCTCCTGCTGCTGACGGGTCAGGTGACCGAGGCCGGAGCGACTGGAGTTCCTCTGAAGATAACTCCTCTACCTGAGTGTGCAGCCGGCTGATTGGCTGACTGAGCTCCTGTCAGGAGGCAGGTTACGACCTGAAAGACAAAACATGTGAGGGTACTGTTTCCAGTGTAGACATGTAAACAAGACTGTAAACATGTAAACAGACTGTAAACATGTAAACAGACTGTAAACATGTAAACAGACTGTAAATGAATAAACTTGACCGGAACCAAGAGGAGGATCAGTGGGTTGTTTCTGTGTCAGAGATAATGAGGAGCAAAAGATTTGATAACACTTCAACCAACACACACCCACACACACACACACACACACACACACACACACACACACACACACACACACACACACACACACACACACACACACACACAGAGCAGAACTCTATAGCCCCCCCTCACCCCCTCGGCGTCTGTTTGGGGTCTCTGATCTCTTGTTGAACTGGTTTTGTGTCGAG